AAAGGGGTGGCGGGGAGGGATGGGAGAAAAAGAGAGACGCGTTCTCTCCGAGAAGAAAACCTTTTGAGGGAAAGTGATGAGCATTTCTGTGGGAGATCTAATACAACCGTCGAGATAGACATTAAAAGAAATTAAAATATATCTTATGAATTAGCAACGCATTATTATAAGTTTAGTGTTGAGAAAGATGATTATTTATTACAATGTTGATATACACGCGTATACACACATAAAAAATTTAGAAGTAGATTAATCTATATTGAAATTTTTATTATTTTCAAAAGTGATTGTTAAATTGGAAAAATTATAAAAAAAAATATTGTACAATAACGATAAAAGGTTATTTAACTTTAATCAATATTTGAAGCTTTTACGCGCACACATAGAACAAAAATTAAATTAATAATAAAAAATTAAATTAAAACTAATTTTAGTTGAATTCTTTTCAAATTTCGGAATGCCTCGTTCATGATTTATTCATATTGAACGTATTCGAAACTATTACGGCACATTTATGGACATGTAAACAGTATCAAAGATATGAATTAAAAAACGAGCAACGAAATATGAGCAAGGAGGAAGAATTGCGTGGCGACAAATGTTCTGTTTCTGCATATGCATCAGTTGCATCTACATTTCGTGTCTGATTGCCGACACTATCTGCCGTCTCTCGCGAGAGGAGAAGCGTTTCAGTCTGCGTCCCATCGCAGAAGAGCGGTGAGCGAAACAATGTGGCTTTTGTGGGGCAAAGAAACGGCGAAGCCCGCCTAAAGAGAAAAGCTAAGAGCGATTGAAATACGCTCGTATGTCCGCCTTTCTTCCTTCGTTTTTAGTCTCCTCCTGCGCTACCGTGTTCGCCACCGTTGTTTCCTCACCTTTTTATATTTTATATTACAATAAGTAGAATGCGTATGTGTGCGCTTGTGAAAGTAGGAATTCATATAGAATGAAATGCACCGCCAGAGGTATCGTGATTGGAGGACAAAAATGTGACGTGATCTTTGAAACAAAAATTTCAACCTGTGTTTCCTTACCGTCTCTTTTGAGCTGTATGTACGTCTCGAAAACATGCATCCGTTAAATTCACAGATTTACGTGTGCTTGAGGATCGTCACTCACAAAAAATCAAGGAAGCTGCGAAAGGGGGGGGTTTTCCTCTGCGGAGGAAAGGCAGAGTAAGGGCAAAAGAATGAGAGAGTAACGACGAAGATCAGGAGTGATGGTACGGTCGGCGATCGGGGAGGGATGGATATGTGTCGAAAGAACGAGTATTGGGAGACGCAGATGGGGGGAATCGAGGGAGGATAGGGGGGAGGGCACATAGAGAGCCGGTATGGGTGGGTTGCAGGTTGGTAGTCAAGACTGCTTTCAGATTTCCAGAGTGAAGCATTGTGTTCCGAAGGCGCATTGTCCTCCCGTCGGCGGGAACTCGACAATGCCGAGTCCGTAAGTTAGTAACCCTACCGTAAAAACTTATCTCCGCCCCCGAACCACCGACCTCCAGCCTCCAGATTCCGTTCGATTTCCAACCTGCCCTCGTCCTTTCTCCTCCCCCCCCCCTCCTCCCTCCCGTCATTGGCGCATTTCTCCTGGGCCCCCGCGCGTTCCGGAAGACGTGTATCTTTCCCTCACTTCCTCTGTCTCCCTTTTCAGATTTCCGCGGCAGAAACAATTCCGCGCCGCGGTTCTGACGTCTTCCCTCTCGCGAAATCTAGCCAACCGTCGCGTAACGAATTCGTTCCTCGCGGATAACAGCGGGCATCTCTCGCTCTCATTTCCTTCGTCGCAAATCTATCTCTAATGTCGAGCTTTAATAGCGATTTTGATTCAGATCACGACCTCGTAAAAAAGTATCAAAGATTTCTTTTGTAATTAAAAGTGAAGAAAGAAGATTCTCCAACATTGTTTCGCGTATTACCGATTATTTTTTTCACTTTTATAATCAACGCTGACGCTGATCTTCTAAGCTAGCTAAGAACAAGAAATGATGACTACGAACGTTCGTAGGCTATGCCTGACAAGAGCGATGTGCGTTAATTGTATCGACGATTCGTGAGTATCGCGAGAAACGAAGCGTACAATGGGGCACACGGCGGGGCGCGATTCCGAGAGTCGGAAGTGAATGTTCCGGGGAGCGGATACAAGCGTCAGGGATTGGCGGGTGGTCCTCTCTCCTCTCGCTTGCTCTCTCTCTTCTCTCTCTCTCTC